TTGTTAGTTTGGAAGATTGTTTCAGAAAACTGATTTGCCCTTTCCATCTGGCATGGCTTAAATGGAGGGTTTTTTAAACGAGAGGGAAGAGCAAAAGATCATGAGGTATTTGCTTCCTGTCTAGCATAAGAAGCATTTAGTCAATATGATAGTTTGCACCTTCATTATCACAGGTTTTGAGCTATGATAGTTTGCACCCACCTGATGTATTGGCCGTCACAGCTGCTGGGATAGCAGTGTATGTTGTCCCTTTTATGCTCCTCTTTCTCATTATCTCTGACCCCTAAGAAGCCTTGATGCAGGAACCATCACTAATATATTGCTTATTTTCTTAACTTAAAATTTCGTAGATCTCTGTCGGAAGTTCCAAATACGAAGCCCATTGCAGGAGTTCGAGTTGGTCTCGTTGACAATAAATTTATTGTGAACCCCACAAACAAAGAGATGGAGAAGTCAGTGCTAGACTTAGTGCTGGCTGGTACAGATAGCGCTATACTGATGATTGAGGTTTGAGCCATTTTATCTTACCGTCCATGTTCTGTGCTGTACTGGCTGTTTTATTTTCCTCATGTGGAAATTAACTTTTTTCACATACCACATGCGTCAGGGGGAAAATCTCAATCGGCGTTGTTTTTTGCAGGGGTATTGTGATTTTCTCCCAGAGGAGAAGTTGTTTGAAGCAGTAAAAATTGGGTAAGTAGAGTATACTTATGTGGCTGGAAATATTTGTTCTTTATTTTAGGACATGTGCATAACATAAAAAAAAAAAAAAACTACAACTATTGTTAATATCTCCACGTTTCAATGACCTGTTGTGGATCAGCCCTAGTGAGTACTTTGCCTGTTGTATGTCAATGAAGCCAGGAAGCAGTACAGTTAATTTGCAAAGAAATGGGGGCTTTGGCGGCAAAGTGTGGAAAACCGAAAATGCTTGATGCTGTAAAGTTACCTCCGGCTGAGCTGTATAAACATGTGGAGGTACAATTTCTGTTGCCCCTCTATTGCCGTAAGTTTTTCTGTCCGTTCCTGTTGTATTATGACCTGCACCTGCTTCTAAAGCTGGTTAGAGCATGTCATTTTATGTTCTGTATGTAAAGTAGCAAATCCATGAAGAGCTGAGCAATAATACCAAACTCTATTTTAAATATGCACGACAGAATCTGCTAATCCTTAAGGCTGGAACGAGATCTTTTGAGCACATGCTGACCAGATGTTAGGTCCAATGCCAGTTGATTGGGGGATTATAGTATGCAAACCATTTTAGGGTAATTTACCATGACATTCCATGGCATCCTCCCAAGTAACTAAAGTGTTTTAGCTGTTTCCGGGCTTTTGGTATTGAGAATGCTGTAAATACAGAGAGATCGAAATACATAGAGAGAAGTTTTGAGTGGGAGGGATGCAAAACCCCTGACCAAGGTTGCATCTAGCTAGGAAAGTTTGATCTGTCCGGTATCACCCCAGCTCCAAGGGGAGTTACAAAAGTGGAGATCGAAGAGGATGGAATACTCAAAGAGACGTCAAGGGAGAAGTCTGTAAGTCTATATCTTCCAGTATCTTTTCATAAGCTTGTAGTTTTCACAAACAGTAGATTATGTTATTGTTCTGTTTATAGGTACTAATTATTATCATGGTATAGGCACATCATCGAAAGCATTATTAAAGGGTGTTGAAACCTGGAAAAAGGAAACAGTAATGAAGAAGGTAATCTCTCTCTGTATCAGTGTATCAATTCACAACTTAGTTCTTGGTGAAGAGTAGTTGTCATTGTGTAACAGGAGGCTTCTAGGCGGCTTGAGTCAACCAGTGAGTGTTGCTTATTTAGTCGTTCTTAATTTTTCTACTGGATCTTTGGATTATCTTGGTTTGGTGATAGCCTAGAATTTGACTGATTGTTGCGTTTGTGTGATTTGTATAAGCCTTGGTGGTGCTTAATGGTAGTGATTTGATCTTTGTGTTGTATATATGTGTTTTTTTTTCTGGACCTGCAGGATTTCTTAGGTGTGGAAAATATGAATGCAGTTGTGGATTCATGGGAGGGGGATGGGCATGGATGTTCGACAAAAGTTTGCTACACAAATTCTTGAGATGGGGTGAATTAATAAGGACATAAATTGTGTTATATATGTATGTTCAATTTCTTTTCTACAAATCAATTGCAATGTACTCCATAACTCTAATGATCAAATATTGATCTTCTCTTCAATTGTGGGTGGCTAGATGGATATATCTAGTTATTGTTGTTTTTTGTTCTTAGATGGAAACCTCACGGCTTGTAATTAAATTGTCACGGCCGAGAGAATAAGCCGTGATATGGAAACCACTCCCAATTTCTCATGCCCCATAACACAAACCACTCTCAATTTCTCACGCCCCATAACCCAAATCTCACGGACGGTAGATGAACCGTTAAATTTAAAAAAATGTCCCGCCCGGGATAAGGAGCCGTGAGATGGAAATATCACGGCCGTGAGAGAGACCGTGAGAGAGACCTTTGTAATGCTCGTGTCAATGTTTAGAGAACATTATGAATCATCTTTTTCATAAGTTTGAAGTTCTGGAAAAAAGTCCATTCTGTTTGAAACACCATTATAATAAGTACACGGGATAGTTCAACAGGTGAAAGTCTCCTACTGGAAATCTGACACCGTATACTGGTAATCTCACGACCGTAAAATACTCAAGTGAGATGTAAAAAGCAGTGCTTCATTCCTCAAGCAAATATCACGGCCGTGAGATGTCCCGTGAGATGCAAAGAGCAGTTCTCACTATCCCAGGAAATTTCACGGCTACTACTTGACATTGTCACACCCGTCAAAATCTCATATTCTAGAGTTGTACCTTTACACTAAACTTAAAGTTGTACCTACACTTTCCTAAAAATCTTCTATGGTACAATTCACAATTGTACCTATACACTATGGTACAACTTAATGTTGTACCTACACTTTCTAACAAATCTCTTTATGGTACAACTAAAAATTGTACCTATACTAATGGTACAACCTTAAGTTGTACCTACACTTTCTAATAAATCCCTTTATGGTACAACCCAAACTTGTACCTATACTAATGGTACAACTTTAATTTGTACCTACACTTTCTAAAAATCCTTCTATGGTACAACCCAAACTTGTACCTATACCATGGTACAATTTTAAGTTGTACCTACACTTTCTAATAAATCCCTTTATGGTACAACCCAAACTTGTACCTATACTAATGGTACAACTTTAATTTGTACCTACACTTTCTAAAAATCTTTCTATGGTACAACCCAAACTTGTACCTATACTTTGGTACAACTTTAAGTTGTACCTACACTTTCTAATAAATCCCTTTATGGTACAACTCAAAATTGTACCTATACTAATGGTACAACCTTAAGTTGTACCTACACTTTCTCCAAATCCTTCTATGGTACAACCCAAACTTGTACCTATACCATGGTACAACTTTAAGTTGTACCTACACTTTCTAACAAATCCCTTTATGGTACAACTAAAAATTGTACCTATACTAATGGTACAACCTTAAGTTGTACCTACACTTTCTCAAAATTCTTTTATGGTACAACTAAAAATTGTACCTATACTAATGGTACAACCTTAAGTTGTACCTACACTTTCTCAAAATTCTTTTATGGTACAACCCAAACTTGTACCTATACCATGGTACAACTTTAAGTTGTACCTACACTTTCTAACAAATTCCTTTATGGTATAACTAAAAATTGTACCTATACTAATGGTACAACCTTAAGTTGTACCTACGCTTTCTCAAAATTCTTTTATGGTACAACCTAAACTTGTACCTATACCATGGTACAACTTTAAGTTGTACCTACACTTTCTAACAAATCCTTTTATGGTACAACTCAAAATTGTACCTATACTAATGGTACAACTCAAAATTGTACCTATACTAATGGTACAACTTTAAATTGTACCTACACTTTCTAATAAATCTCTTTATGGTACAACTCAAAATTGTACCTATACTAATGGTACAACCTTAAGTTGTACCTACACTTTCTCAAAATCCTTCTATGGTACAACCTAAACTTGTACCTATACCATGGTACAACTTTAAGTTGTACCTACACTTCCTAAAAATCCTTCTATGGTACAACCCAAACTTGTACCTATACCATGGTACAACTTTAAGTTGTACCTACACTTTCTAACAAATCCCTTTATGGTACAACTAAAAATTGTACCTATACTAATGGTACAACCTTAAGTTGTACCTACACTTTCTCAAAATTCTTTTATGGTACAACCCGAACTTGTACCTATACCATGGTACAACTTTAAGTTGTACCTACACTTTCTAACAAATCCCTTTATGGTACAACTAAAAATTGTACCTATACTAATGGTACAACTTTAAGTTGTAACTACACTTTGTGAAACAAATTCTTCAATGGTACAGCTGAAACTTGTACCTATACTATATGGTACAACTCTAATTTGTACCTACACTTGTATACATTGATTCATTATTTACAAGATTGCCATTAATGATGTGGGACCAGTCATTTAGTGGGTTATCTCCTCAACAGGTCACCTTTTGTTTTTTGTTTTTTATAGCATGGATGCTATAAAGCACACTAGAAGGGCTCATTGTTTGGATGGTAGCTAGGTATAGAGCGTCTGGTTCCTCAGAATATTTCTTCATTGGTTTGGTTGTACCATTAGGAACACCTCAACTGATCGAGGTCGAGGAGTATGTTTCTTCTTTCTTTTTCACGATAGGGAAATTAGTAAGAGGGGATGGTGGTCCTTGGGGATTTGTTTGTGTCTCTAGCCCTCTGCGACAATTATATTTGATATGCTATAATTACACATGTATACTATCCATTTTTGATATTCCAGCTGCTTCCCTCTGTGATTTGAACTATGACGTCATTAATTAAGGACATGAATCATTAAAAAGAGTTATTTGCACTAATTCCCAATCCCTAAATTGCGATGGCGCATAATCTCCTCTGTAATCTCGCCGAGCCTCGCAAGGCGGACGTTGTTCTACGCCTTCGGCTGCTTCATGTGTGGGCTCCGAAAGCGCCGGGCATGTCAGGGTCTACAACTGCTGAACTCTGTTGGTAGATGAGACTGTGGGAAACCAACTCAGACCACTATTTGTTTCCTGTTCGTATGCTGCGGCGTTTGATTGTTGTTCTTTGACCTATGTTCTGTCTTTTTCCTAGGGAATGCTGATTCACGGCCTTTCACCACCTTCGATGACCTCTCGGATCAAACGATCCTTGCGCTTCGGGGGGATATACGTTATCAAGTCTTTTGGTCTCACCAACCCGCCGAATCTGTATCGTGCGTGTTCTTTTGATCTGGCCCTATGTGTTACTCCGGTGACTTCGTTTCAGGAGTGCGTTCTTCCGCACGAAAAGCTTCCCGGTCGATGCTTATGAATTCCTCCCGTTTTCCTAGCTGTACTTGCGTGCTGGCGAGCACCGCTTTCTCACAGGTGTTCGTCACTTTCCTTGTTTGCGCTTGTCCCTTTCGTTACTGTGTTTTTTTAATGTGCTCTTTCTTCTCTCCTTTGTTTATGCTTTTTAGATGTAGTTGGCCGCCTCCATTCCATAAGCGGTATATCGCACAAGGATACAAAGCATGGTCCCACGGTTAAGCAAACTGTTGTCCTGGAGGATGAAAGGTGTGTTTGCTTCTTCTTTTTTAATTTGTTCTCCCCTTTGTCGAGTTGGTCGTTCTGCCCCTTATATTTTTGTGCTTGCTCCGTACAGTGGCAAGACGGCTACAATAACTTTGTGGGATGATTTCTCGGGGATTCTCGATCATGTTGCTTTGACTCATGCAGATGCAATAGAAGCTGTTGTCTTGGCATTTGGAGGTCTGCTGGTTAATCGATTGGGTGGTGAGTGTGCTTTACTTTCATATTCTGATCCAATGTTGTTTGTTCTTCTGGGGCTTATTACTTACTGTGTGTGTCCATTATCTTATGTGCTGTCGAGCTCGGCGGCTACCAGGGCGGCTGTCAACCCTCCCGTGCCAATGGCCTACCATCTTGCATCCAGGTTGTGAATTTGTGTTGTTTGCTCCAGTGGCTTCTCCATTTTTATTCTGTTCATCTTCATGATTTTCCATTTTCTAATATTAAGGTTTGCTGACGTCCGAAAATTCGTTGGCTCTCTACCTGTTGAGTTTGCAATGGCTGGTGATGCTGCAGCAGATGGAGACAGACCGACTAATAATCTTCATCAACTGTTGTATTGATCTTTTTTTTCGTCCTGGGACCTGCCAGTTTACTTTTCTTTCTACGTTCTACATCGTTGCTTATTCTGATTGTTTTTCTCGAAATAGGAAGAGAAACACCACTGTGGTGGGGTCGTGGTTGACGTTGAATCACACATCCCGTGGTATTATAATTCATGTAGGCTTTGCTCAAGGGATGCTTTGAGGCGCCGCGACAACACATTTTGTTGTTCCGAGGATTGGCAGCTTCAGGAGGATCAGATGTGTGTTTGGTGCGGATTCAGAGTCCATGTTTTTTTGTTGTGCTGTGTGTTGTTGTTATTTTGCCACCCCTATTCAGTCACCTTTATGTTCTTGCTTCTGACTCGTGCAGCTATAAGATCCAGCTCACCCTCAGGGATGCAACCTCCGAAGCTCGGTTCATTCTCATGGGTGGTTGTGGCCATGCATTGGTGAACGTTTCAGCCGGGTACTTGGCCTAGAGATTCCCCTATCGACTAGGCCAGCTTCCCCCTCAGCTTAACCAGCTGCGTGGATAGTATGTTATGTTCGATTGCAAGCTTCCACTGCCTGGCCCGAATGGCTTTCCTCTGTGTAGTTCCGTGTAACCCAGGTTGTGACCCTTGGTGATGATGTTGTTCTAGCTGACGTGCTCGTAGACAATCCCCAACCTGCACTTCCACCACCTATGAATTTAGCACTGCCAGGGATCCCCTCTGCTCAGCCAATTGTTCCGACATCTTTTGTTGCACAGTCTGTTCCAGGTCCATCAAGGTTTGTTTTATGCCATTACCTATTGTTATTGTTTTGCAGTTGAACACCATGTTGACTGCTGTTGGAACTGTGTTCTAGATTAACTGCTGCTGCAAAGGGTAAGGCGAAGGTGGGGGAACCTCTTCTTTACGAGGGCGCAAAGAGAGAGTTTCGCATTGGCGACCAGCTTGAGGCCCTTGTCAAGTTGTTTTTGTCTCCTGTTTTTAGGGCCCTATTTTTCATTAAATCCCCTGTTTGCTATACATTGATTCATCTATAATTATTTACTGCAGTTTGTTGCCAGCTGGTGTACAAAATAGTCCTCTCTTGACTACTGAGACTCATGTTCTGCCTTTTGTGCTTCATGCTAATTTGGTTGCGGGATCACACCGCATAGGGGGAATTGGTTGTTCCTTTCGAAAAGAATCTGTTGTTGATGTGTCGAATGCTGCTCTGAACCAATTTGAAGCCTCAGTCACCCCAAGAAAGTCGATAATGGTGGATGAGGCTCTGTCTACAGAGGATGTCCAGCCTGATTCTCATGTTGGTGGTGTGAAGATCACGAAAAAGAGTTTGGATTCCTCTCATACGCCATCGACTGTAAGTTAAATTCATATGAGTCTTGCTTTTCTTCTTGTGAATTTTGTCCATTTTCTGAGTTTTTCTTTCTCTGTCAATTTTGACAGGTTGTTGTCCCCATTGGCTAAGATAAAAGTTGTGAAGTTGAGTGCATCTGATCTTGCATCCCCATAGAGTGCTGGATCAGGAGTTCATTTACACATTGGAAGTGAATCGAGCTCGCTTGGTGACAAGAAGGAACCGTCTGCCAAGCGCAGCTTATTCCAGGAATGAGTGACATGGTGAGGTTCATTTAGGGTTTTGTAATCTTTTTAGTCATTGCCTGTCATGGTTGCTGCATGGTTTACTGTTGTTCGGTTTTGGATGAGCTGTGTTTCTCACTGTGTATTTTTTGTTTTGTTATTCTGCATTGTAGGGGTTTGGAGGCAGTTCTTCGCTGGCAGTGGGGCTTATTTTGTTGGGCATTGTTGGGTTTGTATGAAGTCTTCTGGATGTTGACAAGGAGTGCTTTTGGTTGGTCTGGTGATTGTTCGCAGGGAGTGCTTCTAGATTAAGTTGGCGTTGCAAGTTGCTCTTCAGTTGTGCAGTGGTCTCAGTGGTTGTTGGCCAGTCCCTCTTTTGAATTTGTCAATGTCTATGTCCCCATGAATTTGTCCCATATCTTCCTGTGGGTTTAAACAATACCACTTCAACTTCTCTTAAGTTCCAAGTAGATTCTACTTCTGTGTTGCTGTGCCTTTGTTTTGATGTGAATGGGTTGTAAGCGAAGTTCTGCCTTTATGTAGATTATGTCTGTTAGGTTGGTGTTCGTCATGTAGTTTTCAACTCTAATATAAGAATCGCTTCCGTTTCAGACTTATGGTGTTTTTAGAATATATTATCTGTTGATTGATCTTGCAAGTACATGGCTGCTTTCAGTGTGTGGATTCTCTGATGGCTGTGCCTTCTTTGCTGAGTTTGAGTTTTTAATGCTAGCAAGTGCTTGCTGGATCGTCTTATGATGCGTGAAATATACACGTTGTGGCACAAACCATTTTCAAGAACAAGATGGAGAAGTGCTTGCGCTAATGTTTTCATGGGAACGATGGAAACTGCAGCTGGGTCACCAAAATATACGTTTGGATTGTTTTTTTTAGATGGAAATCTAAAATTTCATTAAGCTCAGGCTAAACACGCCTCTCAAAAACTGTCAAATACAAAAAAGCTGTATAGCTTCTATAACCATAAGTAAGTAAACTTTTAACTATCTACAGCATCAATGAAGTCAAGAATTTTCTGGCATTCCGAATCTCCATTCACCCTACATGTAACCTCTCCACGCACAACACTACACATCTCCAATGGTGATCGAGCAAACCTATCTCCATACAAGCGTGAGCATCGTTCATGCCATACCCAGCTAAGCACATCACACCAAATCAGCCTACACACTTTCGATTTAGCAGAGTTTCCACCACCCCAATTCTGCACACACCAATCAACCATCTGATCCCACTGCACAAAAGGAGGCGGAGCATACAATCTTAAACACTTCTTCAGCACAAAATCTGTATACGAACATTGATACGTTGGATTGTTGTTCCCTACTAAATGCATGCTGAAATTGGAATTGAAGTATCAAATAAAACATGTGCTATGTCCTGCTGCCATTAAATGCATGGTGATGATTAAGAATGATTATTTTTTTTATTCTCCATAAAGCAGGAAGTTTTGCTTCAGTGGTTTGCCAGCATGTGCTTTGGGGAAATAGCTATTTAATGCGATTTGCTTCCTCTGCCGTTTATAAGAGACTTTGTTGTTGTACTTATCTGACTAAATCCTGCCCAAGTTGCAATTTAGTTCAAACTAATATTTTAGAATTGGATTCCAACAGATCACCAACGCACTTCCTCTCTTCCACACCATCGCCTCCTTCACAGCCCAGTTTTCAACCAAACTCTGAAAAGGATTCGCTATTATTCCCCACTGTGTTGCCATCTCTAGCAAGGAGAGGTTCGCTTATGCATTCTCAGCTTCTCTAGCATATCGAGGTGAGCCATGCTACTGTATTAACTCAGCAGGTTTGTTGATCCAGATAGCTTGGCCATTAACTGCCTCCCTCCAATGAATGTGTTTTTCATTTAATTCTGCAGCAGCAATAATTCTGATGGTTTCTTTTTCAGTCTTTGCCATTTAATTTGCTTCTCTTTGTTCCCACCAAGGAAACATCCTGGCAGCAGTAAATGCTCATGTATTTGCTTCTCTTCTTTGTGTTTTTTTCCCAGCAATGCCTCCACGCAAAAGGAAACAACGGAGTTAATCGTTGAAGTTTGGTTCCAGAGCAAGTTAATCGTTAATCAGGCGGAGAAGTTCGGTTCCAGAGCAAGTTTTCCCACAACAAACGCCCCCCTGAATCACTGTATGAGTATGATCAACCAGGTGTTTCTAATTGCCTAACACGCACGCCACCTAAATTGCCCTTCCAAGGTTCAGGTGGTGGACCTGCCTTCATCAATCGTGCTCAACCACCACGGGATCCATATTTAGATCTTCCCATTGAACAAGTTGTTGTTTCTGGCCCAACAAATGGTAGTAGACATGTTCCAACAGCAATGATGCATTTGCATGATGATATTCTCCATGTAGACAAACCAGACTGTATTTGTGCATTCTGTGGTGCCATGTTCTGGCCTTTGGAACGCCTTGATCTACGGCGACCTACGAACAATCCAATATATACTTTGTGTTATCAAAAGGGTCGTGTTTCACTCCCATTTCTACAACAACCACCTCAATTGCTGGCTGATTTGCTCCAACTTGGTGGTAGCCCTATGTCAAAGCATTTCAGAGACAATATTCGTCTATATAACGGTGCTCTTTGCTTCACATCTTTTGGTGCTTCAATTGACCCCAGATCACAAATAAGTAGAGGACCTTATTCAATAGTCATGTAGAGAAAATTACCACAGAATAGGATCATTGTTGCCACCTGATCGGGAGAAGCCTAAGTTTGCTCAACTCTATGTCTTTGAGCCAGAGCATGAGACTGATCACCGCCTTTCCAACTTTGCTTCACGGGACTCACAACTGCTTCCAGAGTTACTCACTGCCTTGCTGCAGATACTTGACCAGCACAATAAGTTGGTTAAAACATCCAGGCGTGTCCGTCAGCATCTCTAGGATGCTAATGCACCAAATGTAAAACTACAGATATTTGGGGGCAAGAGTAGGAATAGACAATACGATTTGCCGACAAGTTCCGATGTTGCTATGCTTATTCCTGGGGATTTCGTATCAGACAGAGATGATAGGGACATTATTGTCGATCATTAAATACAGTGAAGATGGTTATCATGCACTCATTAAATACAACCAGTCTCGCTGCCCACCTTCTATGCGAAGACAATGTGTCACACAGTGTGAATACTACGCATTTAGGCTTCAATATCGCCAAAATGAGGGTCGTACATTGGTCCAAGCAGGTAGAGCACTTCAGAACTACTGTATAGATTCTTTCTCTTCCGTGGAACTCAATCGCCTTGCGTTTTTGCGCTGTCACCAGCCCGAATTGCGAGCAGAAGTCTATCAAGGCTTGCAGGATGCCATGGCACGAGGATATCTTGATGGTGATAAGGTTGGCCATGTAGTCTTGCCAGGGACTTACATTGGCAGCCCCCGTTACATGCAACAATTATACCATGATGCGATGGCAGTGGTTGAGTTTTATGGAAACCCTGATTTGTACATTAAGTTCACGTGCAATTCATTGTGGGATGAAATCTCACAGGCTTTTGATGCAATGGTTGGCACAAATAGTGCTGAAAAACTAATGGTTGTGGCTAGGATGTTTCATATAAAGCTCAACATTTTGATCGATGATATTAAGAGGGATTGCTACTTTGGAAAGACAAATGCAAGTGAGTTGTCCATTGTGTTGTTGGGCCTCTTAATGTGCATTGTGTTCTGTGTTTTGTTTAGTTGCTTGCTATTGTTTCTTTTGTGTGGTTCCACTTTATTCCCAGACTAGCTTTTGATAGTGTCTTTCCCTTTTTCAGTCATGTACATAGTAGAATTGCATAAGCGGGGGTTTCCACACATACATCTGTTGGTTTGGCTAGACGAGTCTGATAAGTTAAGGACAACAGCTGATGTAGATGTAGTCATATCGACAGAAATTCCAGATCCTTTGCTTGACCCAGTGGGATATGAAGTTGTGGTTAAATACATGGTGCATGGGCCCTGTGGTGATTCCAATAAAAATGCACCATGTATGAGAGAAAAAAAATGAACCAATGTTGTTAAATGTTCTATAGGTTTCCCCAAGGAGTTCAATTCAGCAACCACATTTGACAAATTTGGTTGTGTTGTTTACAAATTTGACAAAAAATGCAACATGAATCTTTTGGTGTGAATGAAAGCCCACATCAATGTTGAGGTGTGTCACAAAGGGAAGCCCATCAAATACCTTTTCAAGTACGTGAAAAAAGGACCCGACAGGTCATCGGTAATTGCTAAAGATTCTGTCGCATCACACAACGACCCACAGGCGCAAACTGTAAGGCGAAGGGATGAAATACACCAATTCATTGACTGCAGGTTGTTGTCATCTTCTGAAGCTATATCGAGAATTTTGGAGTATCCAATCCACGTTAGAGAGCCATCGGTGGTGCGCCTGGGAGTGCAACTTGATGGTCAACAGAAGGTGCCATACAGAAAGCAAGCAAACGTTAGAAATGTGTTGAGAAATCCTATTGCAGGGAAAACACATCTAACATAATGGTTTTCCCTGAATCGCAGGGATCCTGAGGTAAGGAATTTTACATACTCACAAATACCTAATAAGTATACATGAATTGTAGATTGTAAAGAATGGGCTCCACGCAAGCGCGGTTTTGCAATCGGCAGGGTTGCATATGTGCCGCCAGGTATTGGTGATGTTTTCTTCTTGCGGATTATGTTGACCAAAGTTCGAGGAGCTCTTAGATACACTCACCTCAGAACTGTTGCTGGTGAGGTTTGCCCTGATTTTGAGAAAGCTTGCACCCGGTTAGGCCTTTTATCGGACTCATTAGAATGGATCAGAGTTTTTAATGAAATATCAAGCTCTAGCATGCCAAGAACAATTCGAAGCACCTTTGTATCCATGCTTATGTTATGTCAAATCTCAAGTCCTATTGCATTATTTAATGCTTCTTGGCGCTTTATGGCTGACGATTATGCTTATAGCATCAATACACATCGGCAATCAAGAGATCATAACCCAACTGACCAAAGGCTCCAAAACTGGGTTCTACGACAGTTGCAGCAATTTCTTGGGTCTCACTCCTCAACACTCCAGGATTTCAATTTGCCTGTTCCCAGTAATGATGTGGTTGACGATGGAACAAACTCACTCATCAATGACCATCTTAACTTTGATACTGAAGAGCAGCAACGTTTCTCGGACAAAATGGTGCACTCACTGAATAGAGAACAACTCCATGTATATTCATCTGTCATCAACTCGGTACACAACAACAAAGGATGTCCATTCTTCTTATACGGCCATGGAAGGACAGGGAAGACTTTTCTCTACAACGCAGTAACAACCAAGCCAAGGAGTTTATCAAAGGTAGTTATTTTGGTTTCTTCGTCAGGAATTGCAGCAACTCTGCTGCCTAAATCCACAACAACACATTCAAGGTTTAAAATACCCCTCACTCTTTATGCAACATCTACATGTTCAATTAAAAAAGGAACACATCATGCTGCGTTGCTTATGGAGGCTTCTTTGATTATATGGGACGAATCCCCAATGACACATCGGCGGGCTTTCGAAGCTGTTGATCGTAGTATTTGCGATGTGATGAATGTTCCTTTGAGAGGACCGCTTTACAAACCTTTTGGAGGAAAAACGGTGCTTTTTGGCGGGGATTTTTGACAAACCTTGTCGGTGATCACTGAGACTGGTCGTGAGCAAACCGTCGATGGGTCATTGACAAGATCGATCCTGTGGGATTCTTTTAAACAGCTAAAGTTGACAAGGAACATGCGTATTTCAGAATATACACAAATTGAGAGACAGATTATTCATGGATACACATTTGCATAGTGGGTCTTGGCTTTGGGAGATGGAAAACTAAAGACAAACTCATTCAAACTAGATTCAACATCTGACTGGGTTCAGATTCCAAAATTGTTTATTGTGGAATATGGCACTAACCCTATTGCATCTATTGTAGAAGACATCTATGATTGTTTTGCACAAAATTACAGGTCCCCATCTTATCTTGCAAACAAGGCAATTGTCACGCCAACAAACGTAACTGTTATTGAGCTCAATGAATATATGATGCAATAGGTTACGGACCCGACGAAGACGTACTATAGCTCATTGCTGATGAATGATATCGACATTCTTTCTGCATGTTCAGTTGAGAGAGAATCAAATCTTTCCATTCTTAATTTTTTCATGGAGAGAATTGTTTTATATGTGGGTATTTGTTTGGGTAGGGTGATTTAGACGTGGTTTACGATTATCAAATATGTGTTGAGGAAGGAATTTTTCTATGGATCCAATCAGGGTCTAAGCTGTAAGCTCAATTTCTTCTTATTCTTTTTGTTGTAGAGTCCCGATAGAAGGTGATAAAGAAATGGCTGATAATAGAAGAGTCTATCCGGAGTGTGTTTATGCTGGCAATCCCTATCATCCATGTGGAGTATCTTGCCTGCAGAAGATCGCTCAGGGAATAACTCGAAAGTCTATGAGCAAGAAGAAGTCATGTAGCTTTTTTCCAGAGTTCTTTCTAAAGCATTTTTTTTTATGTTCATGCAGTCTAAGTATCTGAAGCATATGGCTTCTAGGACTTCTTAGAATATTCATACCACCCATCATCAAGGAACCATATTGGTTTATCTCACTATTTTCAAGATGTTTTGATTTTGGGGAAGTTTCTAACTGTTTCTTCCCCCCCCCCCCCCCCCTATTCAATCTCTTCCCTTCATTCTAGTTAGTCCAAGAAGTGTCAAACAAGTTCGGCATATAGAAAAGACTGATTGAGAAAAAAGAGTTGCAAATCCAAATTGTCCAAAAGCTGCATATCCTTACCATGAATGTGGCAAATATTGTACTAATAATCCTGCTGATGCAAACTTTCTCGACACTGATAAAGATGAAGGTTTTTGTTTCTCCTCTTCCTCAGAATGTTGATTCCTGTTTTGCTTTAATCCTATCAAAGCTTAGAAATGGATCCTTCTGAAATCGGAAGTGATGCTGGGGAAAGAGTTCTCTTAGTCATTTTTTTCAATTTCTTAATCCTTTCTCAATTCCTTGAGGAGGGTGCATGGGGAAAATTTTTGTGCTCTTGGAAAAGATCTAAGGTGTCTTGTGCTCCTTATATCTTCTTGACTTTGCTTTTGTTAATGCAAGGTCCTTCCTTCTTGGTTCCGGGATGTAAGTTTGTAACTTTTTATCCTTCACTGGTTCTTTCTCACCGTAGTTCGTTGTGGTTAGTTGATAATAGATGTCACGCGATCATGGGCAGTATAAATGAGATGAATAGAGGGAACTTTGCTGACGATCTGAATTCCTCCCCTACAAAGATTCATTGTTGAGGATCTTCACTCTAAAGCCTGGCAATGCAGTCCATTTTGATAGAAGCAAAGGCAGAAGGGAAGCTTGTATCACGCCGTGAGATTGTTTAGAAGTTCCTAAAGAAAAAGGTGAAGTATGGACCGAAGTAGAACCCAAGATCCGCAAAGGAGTTAGAATGTTTTATGTCATCGTGGACAACTTAGAATATTTGGTTATGCTGAACAAGGAGTTAGAACTGCTATGGAAATGATTTTGAAGTTATGGATCTTTGGTAATCTTCCCATTATCAGGTTGCAATGCAGGAAACAATTTTGAATTATGAAATTTTGAAGCAGGTAAAATCTGACAACAATATCATGTCATCGCATTATATACATTGCCTGACAAATTGTTCTCCTGTCATATTAGACGTGAGACAATTAAACCACCTTTACTGACAAAATGTAGTTGTCATATTATACAATTATGACAAAATGTAGTTGTCATAATATGATGAACAATTCTCCCAAAATTACCTGATTATGACAACCGTAATGACAAAATATGTCGTCATAAAATCTCTATTTGTCACAATAAACTACCCAGAACCTTAGTTATACTAAAAGCAAATGTGACAACCTTGTTTTAAATTTTTGTCACATTTGCCTATCCTGACGGCGATAAAATGACAAACCTTTGTGACAACACCTTTCGTCATATTATACCTAATATGACAAAAAGGGTATCTAATATGACAAAATTGTCGCGTCATAATAGATCGAATTTGTTGTAGTGAGGCAACGAACCACAGCGAGGAGCCGACCGACGAGAAGTACTACAGGGAGATCCTCTCCTTCACCTCCTCCTCGAGGGGCTACATTAGTGCGTGCGTTGCCATCATCTCGAAGCGGCTGAGCAAGACGACGACTGGATGGTGTCGCTCAAGTCGCTTATGCTCGTCCACCGCCTCCTCGTCGACGACCATTCTTTGTTCGAGGACGAGATCCTTGATGCCGCAGGATGCGGATCCTTAACATGTCTGACTTCCGCGCCGAGGCTAGCTCGAACTCGTGGGACCACGCTAAATTTGTCTGGTTCTCCGCCATGTACCTCAAAGAGAACGTCGACAGCTCCGCGTTCGAGAGGAAAAAGCGCAGAACGTCGTTTTGGTTTTATTTAGTTTATTCTTTTAATGATGTGTGACACGCTACGACACAACACCTAACAATGGCCAAGTGTAACCAATGAAAGGGACTGCAGTATAGTGGCACAAGTAATAAATATCGAATCCACGGGTCTCTAGAGTTACTATTACTCAGCTTCAGTTCATTATCTAGCAAACTAGAATAAGGATTGATTTACTAAACTACTCTACTAACTACTCTAGTAATTACAAGTTGGGAACTCACTTAGGTATGATTCCCCCTATCTCCTCAATTAGGTCCAAGTTGCAATTACTTTTGGTTGATCTGCTGTTGATTAAACTGCGAAAGATCCTAAATTAGCTTGGAATCTCTTAAGCTGACCAAGCCCTCTTAGACAGAATACCCGGCAGGCGTCTAGCCTTCACCGGGATAGACTGCTAAGGAGATTCACACAGATCTCCACTACTGGAATGAATTCCAATACAAAGCAGTGAATTGATTGACTCTCGCACAACCAATTCACCACTATCAATCAAGGAAGCTCTCTTAACCTAATCAGATTCTATCTATCATAGGTTATAGCAGAAATCAAAAGAAGATGATCAGGCTTCAATTGACTCTATAAATCATGCCTCAATCGATTATAATCAAACAATATAGCATCCAAAACTTCATACAAGAAAGATCCTAACACATGGAACTAGGGTTCCTCAAAACCTAAGTGAAGGGAAGTTACTCCATAGAGAAGAGAGAGACTGCAGAAATCTGATCTAGATCTTCAATGTCCATCTCCAAGCTTGATTCCCGAGCTCCAATGGCGAAGAAATCCTCCAAAATAGCTCCAAGAATGTTCCCAAGTCACTCTCCCTCTCTAGGGTTCGTCCCTTGGGTGTTTGGGAACCAAAACCCAGCTCTCCCTCTCCTTTGGCTCGAAATTTGGCTTAAAACCAGAAATTCCCGACTCACACGGCCAGGCCACACGGCCGTGTGACTTTCCCAGCTGCCCGTGTGAGTGTCCAAACGCGGCGTTTCGATTAGTGGGCAACCAGGCAAGCTGCACGGGCAGAGGCCACACGGCCGTGTGGCTCCCCAGGCTGCCCGTGTGACTTTTACCGAGCCTTCACACGGCCACAAGGGGCCCCTACACGGCTCTGTGAGGTACAATGGTGCCCGTGTGGCTTCCCAGCTTCTCGCCAAACGTCCAAACTTCGTCCAATCGACCCCGAACTCGTTCCTAAACCTTCATTCACGTACTAGGACCCGAAATATCAAAAACAAGAACAACCTAGCATGAAATCAGCCTAAAACACGAGAATCAACATCTCAAACGGCTCAATAATAGGGGTAAAAACATGTGCAGTTAACGGTCTATCAAGCTCCCCCACAATTAACCGTTTGCTTGTCCCCAAGCAAACCTGACTCAAACCAATGCAACTCTCGAGACCTCTATAGCAACAAACAACCCCGATCGTCGGTAGAGGATTTTCTAGATCATATAGCAGCTTACGAGGTCAACTTGTCTTCTGAGACGCCTCATATCTCCTCAATGCGAGTACTAGACTCAAGCCTGGATCATGAGAAGCAGTGGAAGTAAGACAGTCAGTTTATGGATAAAGGGACTCATATCATTCACAACCGAGGACTCGTTGTACTGGGGTTCTCTTTCACTTCATTTCACCGTTGGAACCCCTTTTTCACTTTCATTTTACTTTTTTTTCTTTTTATTCACTTGGTGGGGGTTCCAACTGCAGCCTTTTGCACAGTCGACCCTTATTAGTCGAGCAAGAGCAATTTCTGTACATCTGACGCTCGCTAGAGTAATTCTTTTAACTCCTTTTCCTCAACTCGTGTGGAGGGTCAATGAAATTAAGTGGGGTCGGAAGCTCTATTCGTACCCTTAAAAACACATCCTCAAGTAGGCAAACCGTTCAAAGGGTGGAAATTGTACTCGTACTAAAGACAACTTAGCTTCACCTTGTAGGCCTACCCCACCAAGGATCACTAAAATCTCTTCCAAAACCCGATTTTGTGCAATGAACGGTGCCGCACACGTTGGGCTTACCCCATGTCTTAGGATTTGAAATTTGTGACATGGAGGACCAAACTGCTTTTTCATTTCACACTTGAGCACCCTTTTTCGATACACGAGTCCACAACACAACATAAGAAGAGTCATCAATACCACATGAATCAACGGTCCTAAATCCACTAGTTCACAAAATCAACCGACACAGCAGAGAGACAGATAGGAAAAATCTTCTACTTCAACATCCTCCATAGTGCTACACTACCTCCCTAGGTTGCACATTACTATAGAGACTGTCAATTCAAAGCATACTGAGCAGGCAATTTGCAAGGAAACACGTACTTGGAGCCCTCAAATTTAAAAATTTGGACAGTGGATTAGGCTCCAAGCACACAAACAGCCAACATTCACCCGCATACATAATCGAACATCCCCCCACACTTAAGCACGACATTTTCCTCAATGGAGGAAAGATAAGGAGGGTAGAACGAAGTTACCAGATCAAGGGTGAATGATGGTGGACTGGGCAGGCGATGCATTCCAGGAGGAGAGAGTAGTCGGAACACAAACACGACACAAAATCTCACAAAGGTTGAGTTATTGACTCTAAAATCAAATAACAAAACTGACTCAACCGAGGAGAAAAAGAGAAAGAAATGCAAACCGACTGGTTGGGTTGCCTCCCAACAAGCGCTTCTTTCACGTCGTGAGCCAGACGATGGCTCTTAAATTTTGGTCCACCCCAAAACCTCCTTGAAGTTGAGGTTCTCGTCAATGAGGTGGAGTCTCAAGTCACGAGCATGTGGTATGACAGGTGATGGAAGCTCGTGCACTTGATGCAGATGAAGTCTCCACCCTCGAGACCTCTTCTTCTCTTCTCTCGTCTCATTGCCCCAAACTAGATATGACAGCATCGATTGGCCACCATCGCTTCCACCAAGAGGGACCGATGTCGACGTGGCCTTGGTTTGGCAAAGACACACTGCAAATGGGTCATTGCCAAGCAGCTCCTCCAAGTTTGGTGGAGATATCACATGTAACTCATGGCCGGTGCAGGCCTCAGCCACCTCAACTTCGTCCTCGGCCTGGACGCCAATTGCTTCTTCAACCTCCCTTCCTTGTTCATGTGGTATCACTCCTGGGAAATGATCAAGAAATCCTTCTGCTTCACTTTCGTCATCCTCCACAACTTCTTTCTGCACCCTTTCTTGCTCTTCTTCTTCTAGCACAGATTGGAGAGCAAGTCGCCATGTAATTTCTTCAATGAGATCATCTTGCATTTCCTCGCTCGGGCCCAGCATGTTAGAGCAGAAATAAGGAAATGTGTGATCTGCAACCAGAGGACTTTCCTGATCATGATTATCATGGGAGTTCTCTGTGATAACTTTTGTATGCTCCTCAACATCCTCGTAGCCTTTGTCATCCTCCACCTCTTCTAGCGTGGTAGCAGAAATGTGATCTTGAGCAAGATGTGAGCAAACTTGCTCCACCCACTCTGTTTGCTTCGCTGAGCGCTGAATACTCACCTCCATTTCATGGAGAAATGAGGGATCGGAAGGGGCAAGGGCTTTGATTTGAAGATCCATCTTGGAGCATGATCTCTCAGTGTCTCGAGCAAACTGCTCCATGAGAAGCCTTAATTGTTTGTTCGGATCTTCCAGTGAAGTGTAGCATGGCTCTGCAGAGTGGCCCGTGAAGGCTGTGGCTAACTCAAGATCTGATGGCCCTTCTTGTTGTGGGAGGAATTCTTCTTGATAAGGAGATTGTTCTTGATATGCCCAGGGGTCTGATTTTTCTCCGTAGTAAGGGGGTTGGTACTGGAATCCGAATCCATAATCTTCTCCTCCTTGATTGCTCCAGGGAGTCTCGGGGTAATACCACTCGGATGGTGGTGGATACCCCCAATGGTTGGAGAAACCATGAGGATCCATGACTCATATCTGCACCAACAAAAACGAAAACACCCAAGTGAAAAGCAAGGGTGGAAAGAAAAACGCTAAAGTAACAAACTTCTGCCTTTCCTAATAATCTAGAAAGTCCCCGGCAACGGCGCCAAAAACTTGACACGCTACGACACAACACCTAACAATGGCCAAGTGTAACCAATGAAAGGGACTGCAGTATAGTGGTACAAGTAATAAATATCGAATCCACGGGTCTCTAGAGTTACTATTGCTCAGCTTCAGTTCATTATCTAGCAAACTAGATTAAGGATTGATTTACTAAACTACTCTACTAACTACTCTACTAATTACAAGTTGGGAACTCACTTAGGTATGATTCCCCCTAGCTCCTCAATTAGGTCCAAGTTGCAATTACTTTTGGTTGATCTACTGTTGATTAAACTGCGGAAGATCCTAAATTAGCTTGGAATCTCTTAAGCTGACCAAGCCCTCTTAGACAGAATACCCGGCAGGTGACTAGCCTTCACCGGGACAGACTGCTAAGGCGATTCACACAGATCTCCACTACTGGAATGAATTCCAGTACAAAGCAGTGAATTGATTGACTCTCGCACAACCAATTCACCACTATCAATCAAGGAAGCTCTCTTAACCTAATCAGATTCTATCTATCATAGGTTAAAGAAGAAATCAAAAGAAGATGATCAGGCTTCAATTGACTCTATAAATCAAGCCTCAATCGATTATAATCAAACAATATAGCATCCAAAACTTCATAAAAGAAAGATCCTAACACATGGAACTAGGGTTCCTCAAAACCTAAGTGAAGGGAAGTTACTTCATAGAGAAGAGAGAGACTGCAGAAATCTGATCTAGATCTTCAATCTCCATCTTCAAGCTTGATTCCCGAGCTCCAACGATGAAGAAATCCTCCAAAATAGCTCCAAGAATGTTCCCAAGTTGCTCTCCCTCTCTAGGGTTCGTCCCTTGGGTGTTTGGGAACCAAAACCCAGCTCTCCCTCTCCTTTGGCTCGAAATTTGGCTTAAAACCATAAATTCCCGACTCACACGGTCAGGCCACACGGCCGTGTGACTTTCCCAGCTGCCCGTGTGAGTGTCCAAACGCGGCGTTTCGATTAGTGGGCAACCAGGCAAGCTGCACGGGCAGAGGCCACACGGCCGTGTGGCTCCCCAGGCTACCCGTGTGGCTTTTACCGAGCCTTCACACGGCCACAAGGGGCCCCTACACGGCCGTGTGAGGTGCAATGGTGCCCGTGTGGCTTCCCAGCTTCTCGCCAAACGTCCAAACTTCGTCCAATCGACCCCGAACTCTTTCCTAAACCTTCATTCACGTTCTAGGACCTGAAATATCACAAACAAGAACAACCTAGCGTGAAATCGGCCTAAAACACGAGAATCAACATCTCAAACGGCTCAATAATAGGGGTAAAAACATGTGCAATTAACGGTCTATCAATGTGGAAATAATAAAAGAATTAAATTTATTTTTTTATTAATTTTTTAATTGTCACGTCAGACATTTGACGGTCAATTGTTAGTATTGACTGCCACATAAGATAAAGTTAACAGAGAGTGACTAAACGTGGACCGTTTTACTAATTCGAGTGACCAAAATTGATATTAACTTTTTTCAGTGACTAAACATGACACGTTTTAGTAAACCCAGTGACTAAACTTGGCATTTACCCCTGATTTTATATATGCTTCCTCTTCTTATTCCAACCTTGTTGTCGACTTTACGTTGTCTACTATCGGTTGACACTTGACACCGTAACTTTAAATTTGAATTAAAGAATATGATATCTTTTGTGAGATGGTTTGAATGATTTATTAGATATTTTGGTGACGATATGAAATTGAAATTGTTGATGGTCAATGATAACTTCATTCTTAAATTAGTGTAATATACAAGTCTTATATGCTATATATCATGAACGGTTCTACCAAAGATTTTGTAATGGTTAACCACTGAACCCTTAAGCCACTAACTTTTCCTGTACAACCTCTGGTCTGGTTCTGAAAACAGAGCTCAAGATGCACATTTTCTCTAATTTGTAATTGGGTCGCCTGCTTCTCAGAATCCCTAGTAAAACAGTACCGTCCAATTCGAGGTCGCCCAAAAAACGTTCTATTTTGTTTTTCATGACTATCCCAGAGGATATTCTATTAGGCTGGATATTTATTATTTGCACTCAAAATCGAGCACGTCGTCGTTTCGTATTTCCGGACGGCAAAACAACTTCCACACACGGAGAAAACGCCGACCGCAATCTATCTCGCTGCCGAATAGAGAGACCTCTGTTGGCCAATCCATAATTACCGACCATTGCGACAGGGACACCGCTCCCTTTCAAGTTTCAAGAATGGAAACACATTCGATAAGACTTCATATGGGTTAATTGCAAGGTTGGTCACTGAGATTACAAAAAACGTTCACGTTTAGCCACTAGAAATATTTAATTCCATTCGTCGTCACTATGATTAGTTAAACATTTTAAGTTTGGTCACTCTCCGTACTTTCCGTTAGTCTTCGTTAACGACGTCAATTTTTTGCTGACGTGGATAACAGAAATGTACAATCACTCAATTTTAATAAATAAAAAACTTAAAACCAACCCTCCGCATCATTAAACCCAACCCGTGACCCGTTCTTGACCTAACCTCCCTAAAAAACCCAATCAACCATTCCCAATCTCCAATGCATCCCCATCTCTAACCTCCTCATCTTCTTCATCGTGGTTGCCGTCGATCTTCCCTTCCCTTTCCGATCCTCCCCGATTGCCAAACTTTCGTCGCTCGCCAACCAGTATCTTCTACCTTTCCACCCACCCCCTACGTTTACCAACTGCGAAAGCTGTACCCAAGAGGCGGCGCCAGCGGAGGAGTGATCGATATCGATCTGTCTCCCAGCAATGGAGGCGCAAGCTTGTGCAGCCGTCGTAAAGGTTCGTCAAGCTCCTCTGTCTATCCAGCACTGCTTGGTGCCTCTCCTCTCTTTGCAAGTCCCCCGTGTTCCTCCCTTTCGCCGCCGCCGCCGCCGTCAACATCAACTCGACCCCACCACTCCTTGAAGTTATCTTCTCCATCATCTCCTCGTTGGGTTCCTCTCCCGTCACCACGAAATACTTCCTCCTTAGATCCTTCTTGTAATCGGACATGATCTCTATGAAGCACAGCTGCAAGTGATGATCGACATTGATGGAGAACCAACAGAGGCTTGAAGCTGTCACAGGATGCAGAGGACGAGTCAACCCGAGTCGAGCTTCCTTTCACTCGACTCGGTTAAGGGATCTCAGCACATAAATAAGGAGACCAACGACGTCGTTCAGACCTCAAGAAGTGGTCGTTACTTAGTTACTGTAGTTAGCCACTTGGCGTCTCTGTATAGGTTCATTTTGATTGTTTGTTTTAATTAGCCGTTTATGTTCTGCAGCTTTACCTTTCCCGTGTAATTAGTCTGCTGTATATATACTGATCAATCCAATGGAAAAAGGCATTCCGCCGATTCCCACATCCTCGGCTTCTCCCTTTTGTACAAACCTTAGCTCCAACCATCGCTAGGTCATAAACATTCTCATGGTATCAGAGCCTGGTTGGCTAAAACCAGTCTGATCCTTTCTACCATTTCACCTTCTTTCATTCTGTTCATCTGTGTTACCTTGAAGCACCATGGCCGATGGAACTTCTAGTGAGAAAGACAACAAGGAAAAGGAGATCTCGTCGCCACGCTACGAGGATCCTTATGCAAATCCATTCTACCTGGCTCAAAGTGACAATTCCTTTCTTCCTGTCATTAGCTTCAAGTTGACAGATGACAACTACCTTCTTTGGAGTGAATCCATGGAAGTTGCGCTCAGGACGAAGAACAAGCTAGGGTTCATCGCAGGCACAATCGAGGTACCTCCTGTTACTGATCAAAGCTATGGGACCTGGGATCGTGTGAATGGTACTGTGGTTTGTTGGATTAGAAACTTTGTGTCTGAGAACATTGTTCCTAGTCTTAGGAATATTAAAGTTGCATCTGAGGCCTGGACATACTTGAAAGGGAAGTTCAGTCAAGTGGACTCTGTTTGTATTGCAAACCTGCAGGAGAAAATTGATTTGGTTAAGCAGGGAAACAAATCTATTCGTGAGTATCACACAAATCTGAAGCTGTGTTGGGATGAACTGGATAATTACCTTCCCATTCCTTACTGTGATTGTGCTTCTCGCACATATGAGACTGTCATGGGTTATCAGGATCGAGGAAGAGTGATTAGGTTTTTACTTGGTTTGAATGAAAAGTATCAACAGGTCAAGACCCAAATGCTAATGCTAGATCCACTTCCAGATCTAGATAGTGTATACCGTTCTGTTGTTCAGCTGGAAAGGCAGCTTAATGGTGCTAAGGTTAATTCTGGGAAGTCAGAAGAGGCTATTGCTCTTGCAACAGCTCTTGCTGCTTCCAGAACCCAATTTAGTCAGCCAAAAGACAAGGGTCAAGCTGATTATGGTCAGCAAACTGGGTTGTTCTGTCGATACTGCAAGAAGGACAACCATGTCAAGGAGGATTGCTGGAAACTCAAGAAGAAAAATGGGTTGTTGGGACACAATCCTCATTCCCCTGGTAACCCAGGAAGAGGAAGAGGTTTTGCTGGGTCTGTTGATGTCAATGCACCAGATATGAACTTCAGGAGGAGGTAGCAACTACAGGCCTACCAGTCCAGCCAGTCAGCATGACTCAGGGTCTCCAACTTTCTCAGGTTTCACCTTTGAAGAGCTGACAAGACTTAAGGCACTTCTCCAGCCCTCTTGTGGCCACAACACCAGTCAAGCTAATTCTGTCTTAACCAAAGCCAGCACCTCAATGACAGGTATTACTGCACTATCAACCCTTAAATCATCTCTTGGTGATGTGTTCTGGGTTTTAGATACAGGAGCTAGTGACCACATTGTTTGCTCCATTAAGCATTTCTTAAGATGTAGACAGATTGAGAAGATGTTTGTAACCCTACCTAATGGTCATCAAGCCTCAGCCACTCATATAGGAATAGTGAAACTTCCTTGTAATATCCTATTGACTAATGTACTTCTGGTGCCATCCTTTTCATACAACTTAATCTCAGTTAGCCAACTTACCAAAAACAGTCCAGTCTCACTCTTATTTCAATCCACTTTTTGTCATATACAGGACCTCATATCTCAACAGAAGATTGGTTTAATCCCAGTAAATAGAGGTATGTACCTTCTTGGAGAGAACCACCCTGGAGAGGATTGCAAACCCCAAGTTTTTGGAGTGGACACCAGCACCTGTTCCAGTTCCAGTTTATGGCATCAGAGATTAGGGCACCTTTCTTTACCTAGGCTACAAGCAGTAAACAAATTTTGTAATGAGATTAGAACACCAGTGAGTTTTGATTGTGAGATTTGTCATTTGGCAAAACAGAAACGTTTACCATTTCCTAGAAGTTCATCTAGGTCCAGCTGTGTGTTTGATATGATACATGCAGATCTTTGGGGTCCAGTGGATATTGTCTCACATGATGGTTATCAGTATTTTTTTAACTGTTGTTGATGACCATAGTCGTTGCATTTGGCTCTATTTGTTGAGTTCTAAATCTCAAGCTCGTTCATCTTTACAAGCTTTTTGTGCAATGGTTAAGACACAGTTTGAGAAACAGGTTAAGGTCATTAGAACTGACCTAGGTCAAGAGTTCAACATGGCTGATTTTTATTAGCAGGAAGGGATTGTGCATGAAATGAGCTGTGTTTATACAGCTCAGCAGAATGGGAGAGTAGAAAGAAAGCATCAGCATTTGCTGAATGTGGCAAGGTCACTTAAATTTCAGTCTGGATTGCCAAAGAGTTTTTGGAGCCATTTAGTTCTTCATGCTGCCTATTTGATCAATCGAATTCCAACACCTGTTTTGGACAACAAATCTCCATTTCAGTGTTTGTATGGAGTTCCACCTTATTATAGTAGTTTGAGGGTGTTTGGATGTCTTGCCTTTGCCACAGTTGTTGACCCACATAAACCAAAATTTTCCCCTAGGGCTATCAAAGCAGTCTTCCTAGGGTATAGTTTTGGGATTAAAGGGTATAAGCTGTATGATATTGACAAAAATCAGGTCTTCACTAGTAGGGATGTTCAGTTTAATGAAACTGAATTCCCTTTCCTTTCTCATCACAATACACCTTCTTCTTCCTCTACTTCTCCCAACCTGTCAAGCCAACCCTCCTTCCCATACACAGAAGATCCTTCTTCTTTCCTTCCCTCAGACCACAACATTCATGAAACCACTGATCCTGACTACATTCCAGACTCTCCAACTGGACCAGGATCAGCTTCTCCTTTCTCTCCTACACCTTCCACTCCAGTTTCTTCCCCTTCTTCTACACCACACAATACTTCTCCTGATTCTTCTTCTTCTTCAGGATCTCTTCCCATTGCTTTGAGAAGGCAAGCTAGAACTCTTAAGAAACCTGCTCACCTTGCAGATTTTCATACCTCCTTCCTTACCTCCACTTCTAGTAACTTTGATTCACAGTTACTTTATCTCCTTGCCACCACCATTTCTTACTCTCACTTATCTCCTAGCCACAGATCTTTTGCTCTTTCTCTTTCTCTCTCCCCTGATCCACAAACTTATCACCAAGCAGCACCTCATGCTTGTTGGCAAAAGGCAATGACAGAAGAAGTTAAAGCACTTGATGCAAATCAAACATGGGAGATAGTTGACAGGCCTCCAGGAATCAAACCTATTGGCAGTAAATGGGTCTACAAGACCAAGTTTCTGTCCAATGGACACATTGATAAGTTCAAAGCTAGAGTGGTTGCCAAGGGTTATACACAAATATTTGGACATGATTATGTGGATACATTCTCACCTGTAGCCAAGATGGCTTCTGTTAAACTTCTTCTAGCAGTTGCTTCTATTCAATCCTGGCATTTACATCAGATGGATGTTAGTAATGCCTTCCTACATGGTGACTTAGAGGAGGAGATCTATATGGAACTTCCCCCTGGGTTGAGAGAGCTAAGTCACATGCAGGGGCAAGGTATGCAAGCTAAAGAAATCCCTATATGGGTTAAAACAGGCCAGCAGACAGTGGTACATCAAGCTAACTGAGTTCCTTACTTAGATGGGTTTCATTCAATCTTTTGAAGATTATTCAGTGTTTAAGAGTGGTACTGTCATTTTGGTTGTGTATGTGGATGATATCATCCTTGCTGGTCCATGTTTGGATGATATTGAAGCAGTAAAGAAGCAACTGCAGTCAGGTTTCAAGGTAAAAGATCTAGGTAATCTGAAGTACTTCCTAGGTTTGGAAATAGCCAGGACATCTAAAGGGATTTCATGGACTCAAAGGAAGTTTTGTTTGGAGATGATTGAACATGTTGATTTCCTAGAGTGCAAACCTGCTAGAACTCCCATCAGTATGAAAACTTCTTTATCAGCCTCTGATGGGACTCCATTGGAGGATATCACTGGTTTCAGACACATTCTTGGACAGTTGCAGTACTTAACATCAACAAGGCCAGACATTTGCTTTCCTGTCCAGCAGTAGTGTCAGTTCTAAGATTGTCCAACAACAGTTCATTTGAAGGCTTTGCATAGGATACTGAGGTATCTTAAAGGGTGTCCAGGTCAAGGGTTGTGGTTCCCTTCAAATACAGATTCACAGTTGAGTGGTTTTAGTGATTCTGATTGGGCAACTTGCCCTGATTCCAAGAAATCAACCACTGGTTACTGCACCTTCTTGGGTAGCTCACTTGTAACCTGGAGGAGTAAGAAGCAGGGGACTGTTTCACGTTCATCTTCAGAGGCAGAGTACAGAGCCCTTGCTCAGTTGTCATGTGAGGTGCAGTGGCTTAAAGCCTTACTTGAGTTCTATGGCGTTTCTCATCCTCATCCTATCAAGGTTTACTGTGATAATCAGTCAGCCATCCATATAGCTGAAAATCCAGTATTCCACAAGAGGACCAAGCATATAGAAGTTGATTGCCATGTTGTCAGGGAACGATTAAAGTCAGGACTATTGAATCTTCACCATGTTAGCACTGAGTTCCAGTTGGCAGATATCTTTACTAAAGGTTTATCTGTTGACAGGTTTCAGTTTCTGTTAAGCAAGCTGGGAGTACATAACATGTACTCGCCAGCTTGAGGGGGCCTATGAAGCACAGCTGCAAGTGATGATCGACATTGATGGAGAACCAACAGAGGCTTGCAGCTATCACAGGATGCAGAGGACGAGTCAACTCGAGTCGAGCTTCCTTTCACTCGACTCGGTTAAGAGATCTCAGCACATAAATAAGGAGACCAACGACGTCGTTCAGACCTCAAGAAGTGGCCGTTACTTAGTTACTGTAGTTAGCCACTTGGCGTCTCTGTATAGGTTCATTTTGATTGTTTGTTTTAATTAGCCGTTTATGTTCTGCAGCTTTACCTTTCCCCTGTAATTAGTCTGCTGTATATATACTGATCAATCCAATGAAAAAAGGCATTCCGCCGATTCCCACATCCTCGGCTTCTCCCTTTTGTACAAACCCTAGCTCCAACCATCGCTAGGTCATAAACATTCTCAATCTTTATTCTCAATCTCTCTGAAAAAGAAGAACTCGTTCATCGTCTCTCTGAATTTCACCCTCAGGCCGTTGGTGACGGAGACCCTAGTTCTATCGATGGGACAAAGCAAGTATTACTGGGAAGGGAACGAGCAAAAGAAGCAAGAATTAACACGGAGAGACAAAAGGCATCTTGATTGCTTTTTGTTTACCCTGTATTGTACCAGATCCAAGGATTGACCAGAATAGCAAGCGAAACCTTTGCTGGGTTTTTGTGAAGTCCTCCGGCAGCCCTGAACAACACCATAACTAACCACCATTAGAGAGGGAATCATCAAGAATAATTCCTTTTTGCGTATGGCATCACTACTCCCTTTGGTTTCAGAAGATAATCCAGATATTTGGTTTGGGAACAGAGAAATCGAATCCAAAAACGAACCAAAGAGGCAAATGGGTATTTCTTTAAAGATAGAGATTGATCTCTCCTCTGCTGGCGGCTGGCGCCGCCTCTTGGATACAGGTTCTGCAGTTGGTAGTCGCAGGGGGTGGAAAAAGAGAGGCGGGTTGGCAAGCGACGGAAGTTTGGGATTTGGGGGAGGATCGGGAAGGGAAGATTGACGGCGACGAAGAAGATGAGGAGCTTGGAAGCCGTCATCAAGAATGGAGAGTGAAGGGTTAGAGAGAGGGATGCATTGGAGATTGAGAATGATTGATTGGTTTTTTTAGGTAGGTTAGTTCATGATCGGGTCATGGATTGGGTTTAATTATGTGGCGGGTTCAGTGATGTGGCAGGTTGATTTTTAAGGGTCGTTTGGATGCAGTATTTTGATGAGGTATTTCAATCAAAATAACGCGTTTGGCAAAAATAAAGTTGAATGTGGTATTTTGTCCATGACCATGAGTCAATTGAAATAACTCATTGTGAGTTATTTGAAATACCTACCCACCCCCTAGTTATTTCAAATATCTCATCTCCCAACTTCTTTTTCTATTTCATCCCTTCTTTAAGTGGTGAAATACCACAATATTTGAATGTTTTATCCAAACAAGACAATTACACCAATTACCACATTTCAAAATGAAATACCACATGAAATGTCACATAGCAAAATAATGCATCATTTGGATTTGAAATACAATAGAACCAAAATGATGCATCCAAACGACATGTTAAGTTTTTCTTATTAAATTTTGGTGATTGTACATTTTTGTTAGTCACGTCAGTAAAGTTTAACTAATTGTAGTGACGATTAATTAAATTAAATATTTCTATTGACTAAACATGAACTTTTTTGTAATCTCAATGACCATCCTTACAATTAACCGACTTCATATTTTCTCAATTTTGTAATTGGGCCGTCAGCTTCCAAGTACAACCAGTTCGAGCCCAGCCCATAGAATGTTCTTTTCTTGTTTTTGCATGAATAGCCCAGAGAATATTCTATTGGGCTGGACAATTGTTCTTTGCATACAAAATCAAGCACGTCGCCGTTTCTTCATTCCGAACCGGCAAAACAACTTCCTCACACGGCGGAAATAGCATCACGCTGCTGAATAGAGGCTTCTCCGTCGGCAAATCCATAATTACCAGCCATGGTGGCAGGGACACCGCTCCTCCGCCGCCTCATCGCCGTCGATGCCGCAATCTCTCAATTCCTACACACACTGTTCCATCCCTTCTTCCCAACGGCACTACTCCTCCTCCTCGAGATCTCCGCCGACTTCCGATTCTCCTTCCCGATCTGCCTTGCCCTCCTCTTCTCACCGCTCTCCCCTCCCCTCCTTCCGTTCTTATCCTCTCTGCTCTTCGGCCTCCTCCTCGACCTCGCCGTCGTCGGCCTCACCAAAGCCATCTTCCGCCGTCAGCGCCCGCACTACAACCACTCTTCTATGTCAGCCGTCGTCGCCGTCGACAAATTCTCCTTCCCCAGCGGACACTCGACCAGGGTCTTCTTCGTCGCGTCCTTGGTGTCTCTCTCGGCGGCGGCAATTGAGGCCGCTTTGCTCGAACTGAAGGCCGGCGGAGGGCTGCCTGAGCGGTGGATTGTAGGTGGTGACGAGGGCAGAGTGGTGGAGATTGTGGTGATTGGCGTTTTCGCTTGGGCGGCGATTACGGCGTCGTCTAGAGTTTTCCTTGGCCGGCATTTCTTCCTTGATGTTCTCGCGGGAGTGTGTTTGGGCATTCTTGAAGGCTTCGTTGCTTTTCGATTCCTGCGGTTTGAGGATTTCCTGAGGTAAAGTTCGCCGCATTGCCATCTCAATTGATATGCCTATGCCGCAATTCCTTGCATTTTGGAGCTGAAAAGTAGAATTGGGGATTCTCAAATTCATTGGTTTTAGTGAATGGACGTGAATGAACATTGTCCTGATTGAAGGTTGGGATTCACATTGAGATTGTTCCTTCATTGATGAGTATTACTGGGAATGAGAATTTGATAGCATCCTCAACTAGCTCAATTTTCATTTCTGCAGCACCCTACTTTATCAGAATGTCGTCGAGGTTGCAAATTGAGTGCTTGGCAGAAGAGATAGGCACTTGTTGGCCTATTGGACTGTCCCATGGAATCTTGGTTCAGGTGCGAATAATCATTGAAGTAGAGTGAAAGCTGAGATTATGCACTTACTGTTGATTTTCTTGTCAACGTTCAAAATGACCCATCACTTCTGATTGTGTACCATTTTTATTCTAATGTATTGTATGGAGTCGGTCTCAATTGTATATCACTTGCTACCACAACTTGATGGTTTCTATTGATAATGGAAAAGGTTACCTGCTTAAAGTCACTTTAAGGTTGTCTGTAAACGTGGTATGTTCCCTGCAGAATCAATAATATAAGGTTAGCAACTATACCACCTGTCTTGTAGACTGTCACGTCTAGCGTATTACCAGCAGTTGGTGGCTGGTAGCTAAATTTGCGCATTGGATGGCTCATGTGGTAGCCACTTTGTGGCATCTCGAGTATGGATCCCACATCCTTTGTTCATCTAACCTTCCTTTTCTGTGGCCTTATAGGTGTCCTGATAGCTAAAGATGCTTTCATTTATGTTATCGTTTGTAAGAAGAAGCTTGTGGGTAACATACTGATTATTGGATGAGATTGATAGACTGATTGATGATTGACTTTAGTCGATCGAAGAAAAGAGGATGTTAGACTTGATAGATTAGAGATAATAGAAACGTGGAACTCACTCAAAGCAAGGAAGTAAAGATGGTGGTTAAATAGTTGTTAGCATGTATTTTCTTAATTAACAAGCTCTACGACTTGATGCTTATGTCAATCATCTACCTTTAGTTCATTGACTTCTCCTATGTCCATTGCAAGTGTCTGTGGCTGAGAAGGAGATGCATGTGTATTCTTTGAATTTTGAACAGTGCACTCTGCAATTTCTTTTCTCCTATAGCAACAAAAATGGTCCTTCATCTCATCCCCCCTCTTCCCCCTTTATTGCAAGGGACCTATGGAAGTTAAAGCTATTTGATTTATGAACTGCTTTTGGGATTTCTGTTTATATTATTGAGTCTTCTTAGTGGCTGGTCCCCAAATTTGACTTAGAATTATGATTAGGTATTACTGGAACTTTGAATTCTGCTTTAGCAATGAAGATGGTATCGAAGCTGTGTCTTTGTCCACTTGTGATAGTAGTATCCATCCACGTTTCTGGGTTTTTGTCATGGTTCATGAAACTATACCGTACTGGTGGTTCAACCACAAAATACCAGTATCGGAGGCTTTACCGGTAGGCGGTATTTAACGGTACTAACGGTTGACTACGGTTAAACCATGATTTTGTCATAAAATACCCTACCGTTGACTTTTCCGATACGGTTTCATGGACCATGGTTTTTGTTAGTATTATTTGCTTTCCCATGATTAGGGATGCCAAACCCAAACCCATGAGTTAATCCGTGAAAAAAACCCGGGGTAGAACCCACTGGGTTTGAAAAACTTAAACTCAACCCAACCTGCTGGGTATCCGCGGGTTCATGGGTACCCACAGGTTTTTGTCGTAAAAACTTTACAATAACAAGTTCCTATCAAAATTAAAGTCAAATATCAATATCTCAATACAAATTATCCATATATAAAATACAATTTAAGAAAGTTCAAGTAAATCAAAAATTAACTGTACAAATTGTTCAACACCAATCTAGAAAACTCAAGAAAATTGAAACAAATCACAAATTATCCATAAATAACATGATTAATTGAAAACTTCTTCTTTTCAATTAAGTTTCTTCACTCTCCACTCGATAACACAACTTCATTCTACACAACTAGAAAGAAAAAATTAGACATGTCTCCACAAACATAAATAAGATTAGTTGTTTAGAATATTAAATATATCGAGAAAATTAATTATATGGGTGTGGGCGGGTACCCATGGGTCGGGTTTACCTAAACCAAAACCCAACATGATGAATAGTGAACGGGTTTAAACCCAAACCCGGCCCAAAACCTTAACATGGATTTTACCCGCGTTGACCGAGTTGGGTCGGATGGGTACCCATGAATTCGGGTTTTGTTGCCATCCCTACCCATGATTGATGCCCTATCTTTTGTGTTTGGCTTTCGATCATAGAACAAGCCTCTGGAAGCCGAAATGGGTAAATGCTCTGTAATCCATATACCTCGGTTGCTTTATCTCTTATAAGATATAAAGGTTTTGGCAACTCCTTAACTGTAGGAATCAAGAACCAGCCTTCAAGAAGGCGCGCCTAGGCGCACGCCTAAGCTTGAAAAGGCGCAAGGCGCTGGTTGAACGCCATGCTTTGGCTAAAAGCGCTGAAGAAAGCGCTAACTGCGCCTAACAGCTATTAATCACCGCCTAATAGGAGAGAAAAAGGGCCTAGGCGTGATTAATTGGGCCTTAGCGTGGTCATCATTCCTGGATTTCAAGATGCTGCGTTTAGTTTCCCCCATCAATCATCTTCCTCTTCAGAATTGATCGACGCCAAAAAGCCAATTATCTCTTCGTCTTCCTCCACCCGTCGACTCTAGATTAGAGACGAAAATCCCTAGCTGCTGCGAGCTGCTCGTTCCTTCTCCTTCTTGCCGCTCGGCCTCATGTGGGAGAAGCTCACTGCTCAAACGCGGCAAGGAGAAGCTCCTCCGGTCGTCTCTCACCTCTGTAAGTGAAACTTAAGTGCCCCTGTTCTGAAATGTCATTATGTTCTGTTCTAAAGCTCGACTCTTTTCTGTTGTGATTTCTGAAGCTCCGCCGCCGCCCAGAGAAGCTCATCGGTCGCCTCTTTTCTGTTCTAAAGATCAGACTTCGGACACCAGCTGTCCGGAGAAGTTCATAGCTCGGCTTCCCCTGTTCTTTAAGTTCCTCTGTTCTGAACTTTCCTGTGTTCTGCTATGTTCTCTTGAAAAGTTCGTTGGAGGTGGGTAAACCAAAAGTCCAAAATACACCTGAATGGAACCGGGTCTTTGTTGTTGTTAAAATGGAAGATCTCCCCACCATATTGATTTGAGTACGGGTATTGGGCAGCAGCTGGTTAATTCTAATTGTTTGTCTTTCTTTTGCACGTCGTTAGTGATAATTATGTAATGGGTATGGACATGGACATGGTTCTTTCAAGTTTAATAATTATTAATTAATGATGAAGAATGCAATCGGTGTGGAATCGGAATCCAGTTTAATAATTCGTTAGTGCTTTGCAAGATGACAACAGATAATGCTTTACAATTTGGATTCTAGTAGTAATTTGTGGTTTTGGGACTACTGGTCTCAGTGGTATGTTTAGAATATTTAGTTTTTAGTTGATTGATGGATCCTTTCGTCATTTGAAATTTGATTGTTATTTGGTATGTTAAGTGCTATTGTTAAATATTAGATGTTTCCAATTATATATGAACTTGGATCATATGAAGTATTCCAGAAAACAGGAAATATTTGAGCATTTTTTCCATTTTTGCTATGAGCGCCTAGGCTACGATTAATAGGGCAAGGCACAAGTCAGGAGTCGAGCGCTCGCCTTACGCCTAGCGCCTTTTTGAACCTTGTCAAGAACCAAAGAGGGATATTGTGGTATCGATTAACTATCTTACTAGTTGGGGTTGTTTTTGCCTTCACGGGCTTCTTTTATGGTTCTGCTTTATCAAGTTGTAGGTAACCAAAAACAGTGTGATGACTGGATTCTGGAAAGTTCGATTCAATGCAAGTCTTTTCTTGGTCAATCTACTTGCGGATTGGACCGGTCAAGCTGCTCATTTATGGTTTATGACCAAACTTAGTACAAAAGTTGAGAGCTGAGGAAGGATGGAGTAGATAGATATAGGTAGAGATAATGGTGATAGAGAACTATCGACTGTTATCTATTTGATGTTGGCTTTACATACTGGGTAGCTAGGCAGCCAGCCAGCCAGCTTGTGACTGTTTAAAATTTTCTCTGCCAAGAAAGTGATGTAAACATGTGATTTCTCTCTTCCTTTTTCCCCTTTTCTATCCGTGGTATAGTTTGTATTGTACAAAAGCACATAATTGTTTTGGGAGGAAACATTGAACACATTTTTGGACATATTCTCATCAACTCGGGGGAAAGGGGTATCTTCCCTTCTACCTCCCAAAAAATGTTCAGAGGACCACTGAGAGAAAGCCAATTTAGATTCTGGGGTTGTACTAATCAGGGGGGGTTGATACTTGATAGCCCAGCAGAAGTGTGGATTTATTGCATGTCCTCTCTCTCTCTCTGTGTTGTGTTTGTTTCTTTGGCTTTTCAGATTACCCAGTTGAGAATCGATCATGGTCATGATAATCATTGCTCACTGCGCTGACTGAGAATGGCAGCAGGGGGGAAACCTGAGGCAGAGATATTACAGAAGAGAGAAAAAGCCACTGACAGTAGAAAGATGGCGAGTAAAAAGTTATCATGTCTATGCATGTAAATTTGGAAGAGCATAGATAAAGACAGTGCAGTGCAGTGCATTGCAGTGAATCTATCATCTTAGGAACGAGTCCTCTACGCCAATCTCCCCATGTATGTATGTATGTATGTATTCATAACTCTTCTATACGTACAAAATGGAGTCATTCATTCATTCATTTCAGGGGTGGTGTAGTGGAATGGATTATGGAAAGAGTACAATCAATTAATAACTGTTGTTATTGCAGCATTGCAGGCTGAATTGGTGATGATGGTCTACAATGGTGGCCTTCTTATCAGTTCTTTCTCATTATGACCCCCTTGGCTCCTAGACCTCCTAGACCTAGAGTTAATGAAAGGGAGGGGTCCTGGCTGCAGCTGCCCCCTTTTTTCTTTCTCCAGTCAAATATTAAATGAGGAAGGAACATTATTAGTGGATTGGATTGGATTGAGTAGAATGCTCCTAATCTCTAAAGGTCAGAACTACACTGTTTTGTGATTGTGAGTTCCCATTTGGATTGGGGATTTGTTTGTGGGTTTTCTGCACGATCCTACGTAATGTGGGATTTTGTGGTGAAGTGGGGCTCGTCAGCATCACCTGGAGGGAGAGGCCTGAAGACCTATGAGGATATTGGTTTCTCGAAAACTCGTCGTTAAGTCTTAAAGACAGAAACAGACAGTGTAGGAGTTGCTCGACCGAAAGGATAGAAAAGGAACAGATCTGGTCAAGAACATTCATAATGTGAGCTTGAAAGGTAAGCAAAGGTGGAAATAGATCTGGTCAGTAACATACTTGGCATGGCTGAAAGTTTGGTATAGGCATTTGAGAAATATCGAATATCGTACCGAATTTGTCTATATTTGGTATTACCGAATACACGTATTATTTCGTGGGATTGAGATTGAATTTCAATTGTTATTCGGTATTAGGAATTACGAGATTGTGATCGGTATATACCGAAATACCGATCAATACCGAAATATAATATAGTGTGTATTCCTCTCAACTAGACTCTCTTATTCGCTACTATGCGACCCTCAACTATTAAGAGTGTCATTTAATTATACATAGATTATTACATCACTATTTCATACTAGTATTTGTCGTCTCTCAACCTCAAATTAGTCAAATTAAAGATTACTAATTACAAGAACTTGAGATGTTAGCTCTTGGCAGCTCAAGATTCTTTGCTTAGTCTCTTTGCCCTAAATTAAACAATAAAATTTAATTTATATATTTAATTATTAATTGCAAAGATATTTAATTTTGTATTCGATAATATCGATTGGAATACTGAGGTACCGATTGAGATACCGAAATATTTAGGGATTTGGATTGAGATACCGAAATTATTTAGGGATTGAGATTGATTTTAGGGTGTAATTCGGTATTCGGGATTTTGGTATTTGGTATTGAGATACAGGCTCAAGATAGGGTGCATCAATAACTAAATCTAGACCTTTCATTTAGAAAATCCAGATCTAAGGATGGAGAATTAAATATCATTTTTATTTTCCCTATCTTTCTTAATCGGCTCATATCTTCTTCGTTTTAACTCGGATTTTTAATTTTTTTTTTTTTTTGCACAGATGGAACGAGTTCGTTGTGCTCTACAAAATGAGATACATTTTCAATTTTTTTTAGAAAAAAAATTCTTGCCTCTCGGTACCAACTGCATACCATATGGTATCTTCTTCGTTTTTCATTCGTTTTTGAAAACGTTTGCACAGAAGGAACGAGTTCATCATGATCTATTGGATCTACAAATTTCTGAGTGAACAAATTACAGGATCAAAAAATACCACACAATACCACCCTGGTACGGGTGGTATCTTTTGTACACAATGTTAAAAGACGTAAATAACATTTAATATACTTCTACTATCATGTATTCAACCATCCTACAGTCTTAGTTTGTTTATACAACCATGGTACGCTTTTCAAACCCTAGGTATGCTCTTATTTCAATACCATATGGTATAGACTGGTAAAAAATGGCTTAATTTTTTTTTTTTGAAAAATATATCAAAGTGGATATCATTTTGAAGAGCACAATTAATCTGATCTAACTGTGCAAAAAAAAAATTAAATTTCGACGTAAAACGAGTGAGAAATCGTCCATCAAAGATTAAGGAGGGGAAAATTAAAGGCTTTCCAGGAGAGAGAGAGAGAGGGATGCTGATGTCATGCTGATGTGGACGGGTTACTCATGGTTACTCACCGTAAGCTTACTGACCTGATCCGTTTCCTGGAATACCGATAACGTATCGATTTCTCTCTCATTGTAAGTCAAATTTTTTTTTTTGCACGGATAAATCAAAATTAATTGTGTTTTTCAAAATGATATCCACTTTAATATATTTATAGAACAAAAAAATGAGACATTTATTACTGGTCTGTACCATGGTGGTATTGATTGGTATTAAATAAGAGCATACTATATGGTATGAAAGTATACCATGGTGGTATGAACATACCAGACTGTAGGATGGTTGAATACATGATAGTAGGAGTATACTAACTGTCATTTACGACTTTCAACATTGTAGATATAATAGATTATGATGAACTCATTCCTTCTATGCAAATATTTTAAAAAAATGCCTTAAAAATGAAGGAGATACCATATGATATTAAGTTGGTAACGAGACGTATAATTTTTTTTCTCAAAAAATATTGAAACTGAATCTCATTTTATAAAGCACAACGAACTCATTTGAAAAAAAATTAAAAATCTAAGTTAGAACGAAGAAGATAATAACCGATTAAGCAAACTAGAAAAAATAAAAACTTTTAATTATCAACCTTTAGGTCTGAATTTCCTGGACTCACTTAAATCCAAAGCTCCGGATGTTGTTATGAAAAGGTGCATAGATTATGCACCCTATCCTGAGTCGACGAAGGTTTATCAATGCCTTAGAGCATCGGTGTTTTGCTTTAGAAAAATAGAAAACTCTTTAAGGTACAACCTTAACTCGTATATTAAACATTATGGTACAAATTCAGTTTGTATCTATATTTTTTTTTTGTAAAAATTTCTTTATAATACAAATTGAATTTGTACTTTTATTATGGTACAAGCTAAACTTGATAGATGAACTCAAACCTTGGAGTCAAAAACCCATCAAACTAGGGAGCTAAAAATGGGTATTGGTTATTGGGGAGACAAATTTGGCTTCCATTTGGTGCCTGGGTCGCACGACATGTGGCTCGCTCAAGCGTATGGTCCTACTTTTTTTTTGTTTAAAAGTTACTTTTTGATTGGTTGGTTTTGTTTGTTGTTTGTTTAATTATTTGAAAAAAGAAGTGCATATGGTTATGAAAAAATGGTCATATTTTAATTTACGACCATTTCATGATCATATGATGCACAAAATGACAAAAAACAACAGTCATAGAGTAACGACTAAAAAATGTTCATATTTGGAGTGGTCTCGAAGTTAACAAGTAATGATTAATTTTTCAATTTTTTTGTCTCAAAATTAAAAGAAAATTACATTGAAAATTTTGTTTTCAAACAAACTATAAAATAAATGTAAAGTGAAATATAAAAATCAGAGGCTAAATAAGTATGGTTTATTGAAATAAATAGAAAAAGGAAGTGGAAAGCTAATTTAGCTTCTTCTAGGGTTTGAGTAAAAATGATGTTTGGGAAGCTAAAAATGACTTGTAGCTGTAAGTTGGAGTCAGTCTTACCATAACATAGACATACAAATTCGTTTATAGTATAAAGTATAAACTAAACTTATACATTTTATGTTATGGTACATATTCGGTGAGCATTTCTATTATGCTATATATTATTGGTGCTTTAATGTACAATTTAAAGTTGTACCATAACATGAAATGTATAAGTTTAGATTGTACCATAAAAGAATTTGTATCATTATGTTATGGTACAACTTTACAACTTGAATTTGTATCATCACATAAAGGTTCAAATTCAAGTTGTACCATAAAAAGAATTTGTACAAATAGTATAGGTATAATCTAAAGTTGTACCATAACGTTAAAGGTACAATTTCAAGTTGTACCATAAAAGCAAAAACATATAACACCAATACTATATAGCATTGTAAAATTCCTCCATATTCGGTTTGTATATCAAAACATCGCCACCAATTGCAAACCAAAGATGATTTCTTTTTGTCCTCCCTCTCTTTTTTGGCTAAAAGGGAAAGGAGGCTGGCTATGGCTGGGTCTTACCAATCTTGCTGGATATTGTTGAAAAGACAAATGGCTGGGTTTAAAGCTTTTAGCCCTTATCTTCATAGTCATTAAGCAAAAGACAAATGGCTGCTTCAATGTATTTATGATTGGGAAAAAAGAACTTTGTAAGCAACTGTCCTAATGGCATGCTTTCTTTAATTTCCCCTCATGTATCCTGCACGTTAAAAGAATAGCGACTTCCAAATCAAGGGGAAATCTTCTCCTGAAGATTCTAGCTAGGATTAGTATGTCATATAATAATCCTTCGTGGGAGGCTACTCAAGATCTGGAAATCATTAGGGAAAGAGGTAAAAGGAGGATTGCTGATTTGCTGGTGTACATTTTTAATTATCACAGCAAGTTAGCAACTTCTCCTGATGTTAATACTGTTGTGTTGCTTATGAATATATCATGAGCTGCCGCGATTCAGTTTGACTATTGAATTGGTAGAACGCTTCTTCGTTCGAACAACGTTCAGATAACTTTTCTGAATAAGAATTTGGTTTTAAAATAATATCATTGATTTAGTATATGAAGATCAGAAGTTTGAATTTCTTTAAGTGACATCTAACTTTTCAAAAATAAAATCTATGTCATCATTATATAAAATTAACGATCATATAGTTTTGACTCGTGTTATATGTGAATGCATTATGAGCAAAGTTGTCAAACCGATTTATATTGTTGGGTCGGTTTAACAAGTGGAATGGTTTGACTTGTGGTACAATCTATTTGTGCCGGTTCATGCTGATTTAACAAATATGTTGAAATGCGAAAATTTATTAACATCAAATGAATTTAATCATATAGAAAATATTTTTGAAGAGAATTTACATACAATTCATATTCATATTTAAATAAAATACGACATCCCAAATAAATTAAAAAATATTAATATTTAAACACAACATTTAGTGTCACGTCGATTTCATGACAAACACCAACTAAACCAAATTCAATAAGTCTTCACCAGCGTAATAACCATGATTATTGAGAATTCTTTTTTTATACTTGCATGTCTACAAATCTACAAATACCTATAAGCCATTGTCAATAAAAGCTTATTGCCACATCAGCCCGTACTGTTCATACCACATGACTCGGAGGGATTAATTTGTCATCTCCGCCTCCTGTACTCTTCCCGTCAAAAACCGTCCACTACTGTGACTTCCTTTTTTAACGTTTTACAATCCATCAAATATTTTTTCCTTTTCTATGAGCCCACGGCTACTAACCCACTTCCTACACTAAAAACAAATCATTATTTTTGTGGGAATTTAATCTTTTGAAGCCAACAAAGTAAATATTATCTGCGTTTCAATATTTTTGTTATAGGTTCCTCTTTTTCATTAACCTTGCTCTAATATTTCCAAGACCCATTTTGATCCTAGCATAAAAAAGTTCAATGTGAACAAACCCATAATCATTTCTTTGAGATAAATTTTTTTTTATCATATATTAGTGAGTTTATACTTTTTTCTTGAAAAATTGAATCCTCAATAGACAACCAAAATGGTTTAGGTTCCAATACAAAACTGTTTCATACGTAGGTTTACAAAAACTATATACAATTGTTGCAATATGAGAAAAGGGAGATCAAATGGTCCATATCATAAAAAGATAAGGAGAGAAATAAGTGATTTTTGGGGGACAGTTGATCTGGCGCCAATGACCTGATTTTTG